TAGGTAGCCAATGGGAAGTGGATACGTGGGTAGGGTACCAAGTTGGTCTGGAACTCAGTCAAGTCCACATTCAGGGCACCATCAAATCTCAGAGAAGCAGTAATGGAGGACACGATTTGACCCATCAGGCGGTTCAAGTTGGTGTAGGTAGGTCTTTCAATGTCCAGGTTACGGCGACAGATGTCATAAATGGCCTCATTGTCTACCATGAATGCACAGTCAGAGTGCTCTAAGGTGGTGTGGGTGGTCAGAATAGAGTTGTATGGTTCAACAACAGCTGTAGAGATCTGAGGAGCTGGATAGATAGCAAACTCAAGCTTAGAYTTCTTGCCATAGTCAACAGACAGACGTTCCATAAGCAGAGAGGAGAAACCAGAACCAGTACCACCACCAAAGGAGTGGAAAATCAGGAAACCTTGGAGACCAGTACACTGATCAGCCTGAAATTTCAAAGGAAAAAATGAAGTCAATAGAATTAAATAATATAAATGTGCAAATTTATGATATAACTTACCAGTTTACGGATTCTATCAAGGACAAGATCTACAATCTCTTTTCCAATGGTGTAGTGACCACGAGCATAGTTGTTAGCTGCGTCCTCTTTACCAGTGATCAGCTGCTCGGGATGGAAAAGTTGGCGGTAGGTGCCAGTTCTTACTTCATCTAGGGAAAGAAAAAATGCAAAATTATAATTTAAAATATTAATAATATTTTACTGCTATGGAAACCAGACCAAAATAACAAAATTATAAATATTAAGTTTAATGCAAATACATTTAGATATTTATTTTATTTGTGCGGGCTACATGATGAAATATCTAGGTTAAAAAACGACAATATAAGCTCAAACAGAAGAAAAAAAGGAAAACAAAATGGAAACAAAAGAAAAGAAAAACAATCAAACAAAGTGGTGAACAAGAATATACTAGAAAATAAAGAAGCAAAAACGTTAAACCCAAAGAAGAAGAAGAAGAACAACAACAACAACAGCAAAAAAAAACCACTAAACGAACTGCAGTTAATTCTCACCTACTACAGTTGGCTCCAGGTCGACAAAGACAGCTCTCGGGACGTGTTTTCCAGCTCCGGTCTCGCTAAAGAACGTGTTAAACGAGTCATCACCACCACCGATCGTCTTGTCGCTGGGCATCTGGCCATCGGGCTGGATACCGTGTTCAAGACAGTACAACTCCCAACAAGCGTTTCCAATCTGAAC